ATTGATAAAGGTATCAACTTCCAGTTCATTGGACCCCAATTAATGTGCAAGATGAATTATTCAGAATACAACACCAATAATTTGCATTGCAAATTTTTATTAATTTATTTGGTTTGTGAATCTTTTATGTTAAGTTTTGGGAAAAAGCACGTGTTACGAAATGTTTTTACAAAAATATAACATATATATATTTTTTTATAACATCAAGTGACGGGACGAACAAGTCGTGCGCTTGACGGTAAGCTACACGCCTGTCCATAACAGTTGCAGTGCCACTCAGAGCTTTAAATTGCAAAGATCTGAGGGATATTACCACTGCGCCTGTCACCCTGAGACATAAGTTGACAAGTCTCATGTGCTTGTAATTTCACCAGCACCCTTACCCTTCAAAACCGGAACACAGGAATGCTGACATTACTGCTTGGTGGCAAAAATAGGTAAGGTGGCAGTACCACCCTGGACAAGCTCTTTCACAAGGTGCTCTACTGCTACTAATATAATAATAACATAACATAACACATTAATGTGCTGGACAACCATACCAATTACTTGGTCTCAAACTAGGGAATTCCCTGTACTGAGAGTACCAGAGTAACAGAAGTCACTCCAGAAAACCTAGACCAGAACCAAATCAGAAAAGCAAATTTCCAAAATCGGTCCCACCAGGAATTGAGCACCAGACCACCTCAAGTAGTGTCCACTAATGCAAACTGTTGGGCTACAGAGGTTGGTGGAAAATAAGGTAATGTTCCCAAGTTCGATTATCATTATGCCTTCACCACAGACTGTATAAAAAATTCAAAAAATTATGTGCGGATTCTCTATTATCTCATGCTGTAACAGTGAACATAGCAATTAGGGGAAGATTTTTTTAAAAGTTCTGACATCCCTAATTTGTATTGGGCCAGTGTAGTATCTATGGCCCAAACCATCATCTTAATATTATTATGTATATTTTAAGAGTCTCGCTGACATGGCCTAAAAGACAAATTTTTAGATCAGAGAGGCAGTATTTCCCGGTTCAGTTGGTGGGGTCTGGGGTTATTTGTATTATTAATAGGTTCTATTCTGGCCGGAGTAGCCTGTGTGTAGTTTAAACCGTCTCTTTAGATGAGATCCATGCCCAGCAATGGGATGTTTAATGGGTTCATGATATTGATGGAGTTATTCATATTTTATATCTTCCTGTCTGCTACATAATTTTTATAACGTTCCTTCCAAAACAAATCTTGCAAGAAATACAAGTGTAACCTGTATTTTATTCCTTGTCCATACCTTGTGTAAAGTAAATTATAACTCACCAAAACAATAGGTACTGTCTTCAACTTGGTCCATTGTATTCTGAATGTTGCCCGATTGCACTTGGCAGAAGTAAGTCGTAACCATCCTGGCAACTCCAAAAGGTCTGTGAGCAAGTTTTCATCGAGGGTCAGATCTTGTAGCTCTCCAGAACCTCGTAGTGCTGAGAGGGAGATCTGCTCTGGTGATAAATTCTTTGTAAACCTGTATTGAAATAAAATGTTATTAAAAACAATTTCCAAAAATGGTCAGCAAACTAATCAATCAATTTGAATAAATAGTTTACAATGCTAATGTACAGAAGATTATAAATGAATTTGCTAATAATACAAGATCCTTATGAACTCCGTTAGCCCATGTATTTATTATATTGCACTATGATCTTTACAAAAGATCCATTTCGTCTTCTTGAATCAAAATTTTCTTTTGCAAAACAAAAAAACGTTTGACATAAAATAATAACTCATTATTTCATAAGTAGTATATTATTATTATGATTAAATATTATACTTTGAACTGATTCGTTTACATATAATGAATCTGGTTAAGAATTTAGATTTGTCAATTAAATAATTTTCTTGTTTGCACTCACAACATGACATCAAATGCATGTAGACATTCTTTTTCATCCTTCAATGTGATAGCTAAAACTCAGTAGTTTGTTTTGGGCAAAAACAGTATTAAGCTATGCCCATTTTAGTGTGGCATACATACAACATATTCTCATTATTTGTTTTTAATTTGGGACCTGTTGACAAAGTCCAGTGCCCATATTTATGTTGTAAATTTATGATCTTTTGTAATATTTGTTTTCATTGAAAACTTTATTCGTAGTTAAAATCTTAACTGATTTTGAATGGTTTGTTTTCACAGTTAATTTAAAATTAATGTTTTTTGTGCTTTGCTTGCTTAATTGTGTTATTCATGTTTGTGGTAAAATTTCTGTGAAACTGTAAAGTTTTTAGAAACTTTTTTCAGTTTCCATAGATTTGTTTTTAATAATAATATGTAATGCAATAATACTTCTAAACTATAAATTACTCTTAAATTCTAGGTATCATTTTCACCTTCTATCAGTTTGTAAAGGAAATTTAAATTCTTATCACAAATTTGATAACATATGCAAATAAGTATACAAACTATTTATTTATTTATATACTACCCACAGTATTGATTTTTTGGTTCACATTTGAGACGGGTTAGCGAATCGCATGTGTTTACTTTAGTAGCTTCAAGTCCAACGTCGTAATTAGTACAATTCCTAAGTATAGACGCAAACATAAATAAAAAAATACCTATAGTATAAACTTAGTACAAGTCATTTCTGCGAGGCATACAATCGCAGTAATCAATTCTTATTCGACAAATATAGCAAGAAATCGCTCTTATTAAATACGAGCACAGTTATCGCGTTTACTCAAATATAATTAAGTTAATATCATTGAATTAGTCAAGCAAATATATGAGACACAAAGTGCTGCAAACTTACCTAGATAGATGCTTCAGTAATTGGTTTTTTATTATAGTAACCATTGTCTTTGATAAATTGGTTGTATCTAGCTAATTATAAGAGAGTTTTATCAAAAAATCATCATTACACGTAGAATTTCCCCCAACCCAAAGTATTTTTCTTTGTTGAATGAAAATGAATGGCTGAATGACAAATGAACGAACAATGTGAATGAAATGTCAAATCGACCACTTCAAGTGTTCGGATACTCAAGTGATTTATATTTTATTCAGAACGGTCGTGAGACGCGTGTCGCGTGCGACAAAAATGTTGTCTGACAATGTCAGAATAGCAGCAGCAACGTTGATGAATCATGTAACCAATGAAAAAAGCGCAATGCAGGAAACAAACAAAAGGCGCGATATTTGTTTGGCCGTCGCTAGGTGCTATTATTGATTTTTGATAAAGCCTATATTAGGACAAAAGATACGCAAAAATTGGTGCTATAACTGCTTCCAGTAACGAAACTGAATAAACTGGCAGTATATGTTGTCCTTACGAAGCTGGTAAGGTTCTAAAAACAAAGTTGATTTTGACAAAGTCATTTGCAAAGAGAATTTAAATGCCACATTTTAGTAATTTGCTGTAATATTTTCGGAGATTTTTGATTTGTGTCGTATTATAATTTGGAATTACTTTCGTTGATGGATTTTCTAGATTTAATATTAAGATCGTAGCTATTTGTATATATTCGAGGGAAAGGTAAAGTTATGGCAAAACCGTAGTAGTGTAGTGTTTTGGTCATATATATTTTTGTTTCGTTGATATTCACATCTGTACGTACGTATTTATCTATATTCTGCAATAACGCTGCAAAGTAATTTATTTGGCAATTAGTTTAATGTGCGAAATTTATTGCGACGTGTATTTTCATGTCCTTCCTTCGTAGATATATTTTCGACCAGAATATCTGTAGGTAAGAAAGAGATCAAAAGAGCTTTAAGTGCCGAATAGTAATTTTTACTACAGAGCGTTTTAAAGAGAATGAGGCTCTTAATTAGGAATTTAAAATTAATGTTAAGGTCATATAATGTTGAAGAAAAATATATTAGGATTTAAAGTCTTTTGTCATTGTGTGATTTTTAGCATTCCAGAGAAATGTTTGTAAAAACATATAAATTACAAAATATGGAGTTAAGGTTCTTTTTCGCACACCTATTGATATATTTTTGATATATGAATAGTAGATAATGTTGCTAAGATTTCTTAAACACTTTTATTCTTTAAAAAGTTTCTGGTAAAATGCAGTGCACTAATTTTAGTTTCGCTAAGTATGTTATTATTGTAGGTATTTAACATTGAGTAGGTGCTAATATTTTGTTTGTTTTTAGCAGTAAGTAACAGCACGCTTTCGCACCAAATATGTCACGCAAGGAGAATGTTGTAATGAAAAACGACGTCTTTATTGGTACGCAATATTCGTCGGGAGATTTTAATAAAATGCCTAACAAACCTAAACAGCACTACCAAGAAGAAAACAACAACGAGGTAGATGAGTTGTCTAAAGATTTCTCGGAAATGGGATGCGTTGTGGGCACCATAAAACGACCACCAAACATATGCGTTGAAACTTGCGTCTATGAATCCGAAACTGAACATTCCGAGGACCAAGATAGCCAAAAAAACGAAGAAGATAATTATTCCGATAATTTTGAAGACGACAAAAGCGATGAAGAAACTGAACCCAAATTGGCTAAAAGTGAGACAACAAATAAAAAGGAAGATCAGGGACCTTCGGATATTAAGTTGTCGAAAAGTCATTCGTTCATGTCGAGTAAAACTAATGTGTCTGTGGCCAGATCTAAAGCTTCAACTTATGGGTAAGAGCGTTGTGACTAATTACCAGAGAATGTTAATTCAGTTATGTTGTACCTAATTTCGACAGAGTACCTAGATAACAAAGAACCAGACAACCACTCCAATTGCCTGATCTCAAACTAGGGAATCCCCTGTACTATGAGTACCAGGGCCACGGTATTCAACCTTCATGGTCGAGTGACTTGCACACCTGTTTTCATGGAGTCGTCACCTCTGAGGTCCCTCGTTCGATCCCCGGGCGGGTTTTGTTTTTAATGACACCAAGTGACAGGACGAGCAAGTCATGCATCTGGTGTTAAGTGTCACGCCTGTCCATAGCAGGTGCAGTGCCACTCAGATCTTTAAATCGCAACGATCTAAAGAACACTGCCGCTACGCCTGTCACCCGTAGTAAAGGTACTACTGTAAAATTACAATAGTACCTTTATTATTCACAATATTATTATGGTAGTATTATCATGCTTGGAATTTTGTATCAACTTTACAGTCATTGAATAGAAAGAAAGAAAGAAAGAAACATTTATTCGGCTATTACAAATAATAATAATAATATTAGCCTAAATTTAAATTATAATAAATAGAATAGATAATAAGAATAAATAGAAGAACATTTTAATTTCGACGAATAAGAGAAGTTGTTACCGTTTTTTATTGTTAAACCAGGTGACGGAACGAACAAGTTGTGCGCCTGGTGGTAAGCGACATGCCCGTCACCCTGAGACATAAATTGATAAGTCCCAAGTGCGTGTAATTTCACCAGCACCCTTACCCTTCAAAACCGAAAGGTAGTAATGCTTACATTGCTGCTTGGCGGCAGAAATAGCCAATAGGTAAGGTATGGACGAACTCATTCACAGGGACCTCTACAAAAATGTGCGAAACTAACTTTTGTATATTGTCTCGGGCTTGGGTGTTTGTGGTGCACAAGAGCTTTAGTTACTCACTGTGGGATCAGAGCAACATAATGTGATATTGTCTAATATTACGCTACCTAAAACACCCAGACCAGATTAACTAAGAAGAACCAATTAAGAAAAGTTTATTCCCTAAATCTAACCGAGAATCGAATCCGGGACCTCGTCATCCAGCGTCCAGTATTGACAGTTGGGTCACAGAGGTCACTGGAAATTCTTTGAATATCTAATATTCTATAGTATTTATTATATTTATATTATATAGTAACGAGATAAATGTATTCCCATTATTTATAACTTCCTTTATTTTTGTCGTGTAACTTATTGTTACGCTTTTTGTTTTTTTACGTCCTTGAAATGCAAAGCAAAAGCAATGGCTTCTGCCAGCCCGTCATCACGTAAAAAGGTCTTAAGATTTAAAAACTCGAAGAAATACAGGGAATTTGCAAAATTTGTAAACTGTGGGTCACATTTCAACTAACCTGATCTAAATTTCAGTTCAATATCAGTGCCTCACACGAGACGCGTAAACATGTCGTTCACAAACGAGCGCCTACGCGAGATCGAGCGGCACAATCACATATTACTAACGAAGATAATGAGCGCTCGCAACTCGCGCAAGAGCTCTATACCTTCGCCCGTGGCGCCCCCGCCCAATCGTGCCCCGCCGTCTGCTTCGATATTTCGCAAGCGTCAGCAGCGGCAGATTGACCACGAAAACATGGTAATTATATTTTCCACTTTTCGCTCGCACTTTTATGCAACGGATCCTAAATAGGCCCTTTTTCCTGATGGATGGCCCTTATTTCGTCTCTATTTCTGGTTATATACTCGATACCCGACTCTCTGCAGTAGTGAGGAAGCCCAAACAGAGCCCTGAACACATTATTAGGTATACATAATGCATACGGAGTTGTAGGCTGAGTAAAACTGACTCATGGGCTGCTTGTGTAGAATGTCTGGCAGTATGCTTTAAAAAGCGTAAATAAATAATAATTAAATCTCTAGTCAAAATGTAATATTTTTCTTAGATCGTTTTTTTTTTGGGGGATTCCATGTCTCCAGGCTACAGAATAAAGCCATACAAAATATACGTAACGCATCCAAAAAAACTTTTCAACAGGGATTGCATCAGAAAGTTCAGACATTATGTTTACCAGACTACAACGTGCTATGTGTATCATCTTCTATATTTCTAGAGTCTTTGTATCGTTTTTGGGATTATTAAAAATTGAATGTTACTATTTTCTTTTGTCTCATTGTTATTTTCGGACACTACGTATATAATGTAGTTATTTTGGCGTTTACTTCGTATGTTGGAGATACGAATTAAATGCCAAAAACAAGTTTGAAATAAAAAAGGTATTGGCACCCAGGAGACGGATAAATTGAGATAAAATAATGTTCTCCACGTGGAGAGGTATAAATCTGTTAACATAGATCGGGGTTTGTTGTAGTTTTACGTTCTCTTTATCTACCATAATGTTATAAACAACTATCCGATAAAATAAATGCAACCTGCTTTTCCCAAAATTTGTTTTTTTATAGGTAATAACTTAATAAGTTAACAGTTTTGACATTCGTTAGTGTTCGGGAAAAAAAGTTTGTCATGGGGAACACGTAGTTCGTCTTTTGACCACTACAGGCATTGTATAAATTACTTATTGCTAACGACTGTCGGGGTAGCTTGTTAGAAGGTACTAAGTATGTATTTATCCAACCAACCTTCCCTTTGTACCTGGTAGGTGTATGGACTCTACCTCTACTATAAGTTCAATGTAGGTAACACTTATCGCTAGCGAACGCAACTTGTATGGCAAATTGTTCAGAGCCCCTAGCGGAAAGAAGAAGTAACATTTTGTATACAAATACGCAGTCGCTAGCGAGAATGTCATTGCAAAAGCGACAACTGTCAAAGATAATGAAACAAAACTGTAAGCACATAACGCACCCTAGTGTAACAAGGTGACATCTGAGAAATTGCAACTTTAAAGAATTATAAAATTTCATATAAGTATACATAATTTGTTTCGAGTAGTTCGTATTATCTTTATTAGTTTCATGTGATAAAAAATATTTACGATAGTTATGTTCAGTGCCATCTCGAGATTATACTGTGACAGTTACTTCACAATTTTGTACGGCAAATTATACAGCGCCCCTATCGGTCACAAGATGAAGCAACATTTTGTATACAAATATTTTACGCGGTTGCTAACGATAACCGTCACTGTAATCTAATGGTAGGGGCACAGTAAGGTGGTTATTTAGAAATCCATTGATGTTGTATATTAATCTTAAGTATCGTCTTTTAGATCCTATTGCGAAAGATCCAGCGCGCCAAGTCATCAGCATGCAGTATCCGCCGTTGATACACGCCAGCGTCCGAACCAAGGGCGCTATTCTCTTGTTATCTTCTACATTATTATACTTTTATACCAAATTTGTAGTTTTATTTCTATGGTTACGATTTTAACGTACACTGAAAAGTGTTTTCAACGTTTAGATCGTATTTCATTCGGACACAAAATTTACGCTACATTGATTGTCAACAAAGCCCGTAATGTTTGGCTTTTGCCATAAAATTTGCATCGCTTCACAAAACCCGTGTGTGAGACGATCATATAGAATATGACTTCATACGATGAATAATTTCGCAAGACACCACACGAATTTGTCGACGTTATTATTTGTTTATTTTACTATGATACTGTTTTAAGGGCAGTTTTTAAATAGCACCTTACTCATTTACGTCTACATAAATATTGTAATCAACTTTAAAAAATTAGTACAATATAATGACTCAGCCATCATAGAGTACATAGCCCACGCTGACATTCTGGAATAGCCTGTAAATAAAACGGCATGTATTTTTATGATCATTTTAAAGTTGCGAAAGCAACAGACAAAAAATCTAAACGGTCATCTTTTTTAATGATTGATCCTCTTTCTTTGAGACATAAAATAAATTAAATCGATGAGAAACTGTTTCTGACGAAACTGGAATATGACGGATGTGTACTAAATCAATATTAGTATTTTAATCTGTTCTGAGCTATGCAAAAAAGTTTTGATTTATATAAATTTACTTTGATTGTTTCATGTTGGGCCTCATAACTAATAATTAATAATTGATACCAATAATATACATAGAAAAATAAATAAATAATGAATAATTTATAATTGCACCATTTGCACCCGAATTTCAGGTCACTGGGGAAAATATACCTAACTGTAAGTAGGTATTGTATTTTGATCATGTGCCTACATTGACCTATCCAATGTGTGCCTACTATAAGGACGCCAGGGTATTGATTGCATCCGGGCACAAGGGCTAGCGCCGTTAGCTAATCGGTCAACGACATATCGTGCGTTGATTTTGATACAGCGAACCAATGATATTATGCTTGTAAACCGAATCAATCATCCCACTCATTTGAATGTTGTTACAATTCTCCAACTTGCACTTTGTCCATAAATTTAATTTAGAAAGAAAATACATTAATTGGAAGTTTTTAAGGTTTACAATTACTCGTAATTACTTGGGTTTTATATCTCACTTGTCTTCTTTCAACAAGAATTGAACTCCGGGCCCCGGGCAATTAATTGGCAAACAATGTCGTTAGCGATCGGTTAGCAAGCCGGCAGCCTTATTTTTGATGTTAATTACACACCTCATAAATTTTTTGGTTTTTCTTTATTTCCGTGAAGTGTATCGTAAAACATTTCGAAAAGAAAATAAAAAGTTCACTCGTGTAGAATACACAGTAAAATTCAGTACACGCGGCGGTGAATGACTTTTACGAGTAGATCCGACGTGACCTAGGTACTTTGTAGGTATTGAGTCGTTGATGCTTTGTCTAAGTAGTTTCAGCTCGGGCATTGCACTTTTTGGTAGGCATAGGCATACTCGGTATGGACAGGGTTATTTGTTACATATAAAACAACAACTTTTGTTCCATGACTTTTGCAAAACATAATAAATTCACAAAAGATAAACTTTGAAGTTTTTGTTGTATTAGGTAATTGGTACTTTTTTAGATTTGTGTTTTTAGTAACGGTTGCCGCGTGCTTGTCATTCATAAAAATATTTTTTGGTATTTTTAGCTTTCTTTTGCTTACCGCAAGAGTTATCACCGTTTAAAACAATCTATTAAAATAGTTTTATTTTTGTAGGAAAGTAAAATCGCATGAATTACTTATTACAAGGCGTGGAACAAAAGTTGTTGTTATGATGTTGGTAATATAATCCTGCGAGGTTGTTACTATTTTATGATTAACCCTATATATGCATGATGGTTCAGACATAGACGGAATACGATTCCTTCTTTACTTTAATGGATGGATAGATGGCGCTATGCTCATTGATTGCGCTACGCCTAAAAAGTCGTTGAAAACCATTTGAAAAACAAATACAAAGATCCGACAACTAGCACATAGAAAAATTCGTGAGGTCCGCTGGTTCGTTCCGTGATTTAGTTGGTATAGCGTCGGGCACGGCTTGCTAGAAAACGTCGGTTGAAATCCGGCCGGATCCGGATCGAAGGAATTTATTCTAAGTGTTCTAATTATAACAATCTAGAGGACTAATTTCACAAAAAATAATTGAATATCAATTCTATACAAATTTAATTACTTTTTAACCGACTTCAAGAAAAGGAGGAGGTTCTAAATTCGACTGTTTTTTTTGTATGTTTGTTAAGCGATAACTCCGATAAAAATTTGTGAACCGATTTTAATGAATCATTTTTTGTTGGTGGTCGTGGGCCCATTTCAATTTGAACAAAATAATCCACTTTCCGGTAACCGATTTCAAAAAAACTTGGCAAATAGATGTAATTCCAGGAACTTTTGAGGTCGGGTTTTTTTCTGTACGGAGATTATTTATATAATGTACACCAAAATAAAACAACTGGCAATCGGTGGTTTCTTCAAACGTCACTATTTCAAGGTGCAAAAATGACATGTCGGCGTATAACGGAACTTAATATATCCATAATCTGTTGCACTTATTTTTTTCTGTTGGCACGACTCTACATAATGTTGTTTACAAACGGCTGATTCATGTACAGGTAAATTCCCTCTTACCTTTACAAACTGGGTAAGTTGTTTGTGGTTTTGCAATCGGTTTTAACGTTACCAAAGCTTTAAGGAATTCCCGATCATTTAATATTTTGAAACGGTAAGTTTATTTATTTTTATAGAATTATAACGTCATAAGCCGTGGTAGCCTAATGGTAACATACTGCCTCTCAAGCAGAGACCGTGGATTCGAATCTGGGCTCGTACCTCCGACTTTGTTGGATTTATGGAAAAAAAATATATGCGAAATTTAATATGAAATTATATTATATGTACGTTCGCCCTTAATATATGTATTTTTTTATATAATACTAAGTGACGGGACGAAAAAGTCGTGGCGCGCCGTAACATGAGACATACGCTGACAAGTCCCATGTGCCAGTACTTTCACCAGCACCTTTACCGCCGCCGCTGCCGCCGCCGGCCGCCGTGCAGTCGAAGAGCGGAGTCTGCGGCGGCCGCCGCCCAGCGACCGCGTGCACGTGTTCAGAGGTCGAACTGTCATGGCAAAATACGCTCTATTTATTTAGCGCCCGCGCGCCGACCGCCTCGGACTCCGCTTTTTGACCGCGCGACGGCCGCCGCGGACGCCACTCTTCGACCGCGTGGCGGCCGCGCGAAACTTTCTCCTCGTGTGTCTGGGCGCTTATGCTGACATTACTGCTTGGCGGCAGAAACAGTTAAGGTGCTCTACTACTACTAAAATTATATTATACTGGTACTTAAATTGTGTTATATGTATGCGCATTACTTGCCTGATTTAAATGAATAGATAAATAAATAAAATGTATTTTACTTTATTGTCTAAATTGGGTGCTTTCGTAAACTACCTTTTTAGGATTTGCAATAATAAATGTTGTTGAATTAAAAAAAATATCATCGTTCTTAAAAGTAACGCAAATTGCTTTATGAACAAAAGTTACTTACATATTACGGGAGAAGGTCAAAAGTTAGGCAAAATATAAGAAATGTAACCATCTGGCAACACTGATAAACAACAACAATTAAATTGTAAGACTTTTTTACTTTTGTGCAAACATCACACTTTTCAATATTATTATTGTCATTCTCATCAAAGTTGATAATGACAATAATAATATTGAAAAGTCTATGTAACCGCTCCTAGGTCGACCTCTTCCCCTCTTGCCCTCGATCTTTCCCTCCGAAATGGTCATAAAGAAGTTGTCGTATGTATCCAATGTCCAATCATTTTCCCGCGTCTATACTCTATAATATTTGGGATTGTTCTTTTCTCGTTTACCATTCTCAATACAAGAAGTTTCTCGTTTACCATTCTCAATACATTGGTTTTCTTTTCTATCCAATTTATGCCCTTCATTCTTCTCCAGCACCACATCGCAAAAGCTTCTAATCTTTCTTTCTTCAAATATTATTGTGAGAGGAGATTCAGATGCACGTATTTGCCGCTCATGGGAGTTGTCATCACGGACCCCATTTTGCCTGTCATAAATCCGGGGCTCAGTTGTGAATCACTTATTGCTCAGCCCTGTTCTGTAGTCTATTTTCTAATAGTTCTTCACATAGTTAGTGATTCACATATTTGTCTCTATATGACGATGATTCACAGTAAAACAAATGTTCTGTCATAAACTTTACGCATCATTATAATGATAGTGGAATTGCTGTGGTTACATTTGGGTGAATTCGTAATTCTGATAACCCAGTGGAAGTAATTTATTTACTGAACGATTGTTGATGCACTGTTGCATATTAAGGCTAAGCGCACACTGCAGTAAAAATGTGTAAATATCGTGTTGTCAGACGATATTTTATTATGATTATTAAGTAAGTGATGGGTCGAACAAGAACAAGTCGCGCCTTGGTTGTAAGTATCACGTCTAAGGCTTGTAAAATCCGAGTGACATTGAAAACCGATTTTTTCTGTTTTTTATTTTCGGTTACCCGGTTATTCGGTTTTTTTTGGATATTTTTCTATTGTCACCCAAATAGTTTTTTTAAGCGTGTAGTTCGTTATTACTTATGGTCTATAACTTCAATGAGTCAACTTCTCGAATTATATTAAAAAAACATATCAACAAAACTAATATTCTAAAATAAATATGCATGTTTAGTGATAAGAACTTTTAAACACATATTAGCGAGTTCTTAGGTTTTCGTGATTGTTACACATAGGAAATGAAACAATTTTTTTTGGATTTAAATCGCGTATCACAGTCAACCGTGACCATGAGACCCGTACACGTACAGGGCCCGAAACCTTGGTTTGTTTGAAAAAACAAACTTACTTTCATTTCTTACATATTAGTCCTCGTGCTCCTACCAGTAGGAGTAACCAGTAGGAGCATGAGGAAACGGCTAGTGTATGTAGTGTTACCAGCG